CAACTGAACAAGTATTCTAAACAAATTTCTGAAAATTTTGAATTTCAACACAACAAAAAACTCACCTATAAAAAGAACTTTGGTAAAATGGGCAAAAATGAATCGTGAAGCTCTAGTATGAGATGCTTGAAAGATACCCTAAAATTGATTTAGATTTTAAAAAAAGCATGTGTTTCGGGGGCAAAGTAGTGCCCTTGCGTCGACTTTGACCCACTGAAATGTTTGATCAAAGCAGAAATGGTCGTTCTAAATTGACATCTGGCGAGGCAAATGTGTAAGAGCTATCAAAAAACACGTGGTTTTCTCAGGCTATTTGAAAGCGTTTTCTTCATTTGAAAATAGATAACGAAGGCTAGTAATTCGAAGAAACTGATTAACACTGAAGCTCACTCTAAAACAATGAACTAAACCTGAGTTCTAGTGAACTCTTCTTGCAACAATTTACAGTTCGACATGAGACTATCAAATTACTAAGCCATACGATTCATCAACGAATTAACTTTAAACTGACACTGAAGTCTTTGAAGTGAATTTCTTCACTCCGATTGAATGCCAGAAATAAACAATGAGAAAATAGTAATAAATGAGATCCTCGTAAATTATTTATGAATTTGTCGGCGAACATTTTTGTTTTGAACGATGAGAAAGAATCTCGATGATGAAATTGCAGATTTCGATGAGAGATAGACACAAGCAAAAAATCAATTGATCAAGTCGATCAGTGCATTGGTATTCAAATGAATTCAGTCTCATTTCACGAACCCAAATCATCAATTCCCCATATGCTTCCTCAATGTTTCTAACACCATCTGACTAGGGAAAACATAATGCTGAACTTTGAGGTATACGAATGCTCAAAGTAGACGTGAGGATTTGATGAATTGCAGGGCATTTCGGGTATATCAGAGATTACCGGTGATTTTGAGTTGGATATAATGTACAGTGAAATATGGCAAGATCCAAGGCTCAGTTTCAAGCATTTGAATGTGTGCGCGACAAATATCACTCTCAAAAGTGATTTCCGTAAGAAGATTTGGACACCAGACACGTGTATCATAAACAGTAAAGACTCATCAATACACAGCTCACCATCGGAGAATACGTTCGTGATTCTCTACGAGCATGGTTTGCTGTGGAGTAATTTCAGGTGATTCTTTGTTGTAGTCGCCTCATCGTTAGCAATTTCAGATTTTGAACTGTTATCATTTAACGAACGACATCTTCA